GTATATCACAAGCATGAAACGCTGTTACGTTTATTTAACAAAAACAAAATACTTAATAATATATTATTTACTTCCCGAAGGCGAGGTATGTTTCAACCTTTACAACGAAAATTTCTTGGGATGGAGCACAAGCCAGATATGAAATTGCACCGTCCACCAGCAGCAGCGACATTAAGATACCCAGACCGAGATTGACACAGGTAAAATGAAACATTTCTAAATTGTTTTCGAGTATGAATAAACAAATACCGATTCATTCGTAATTTATTTATTAGGATGGGGAGGACATGTGCATGATCTGCTTCACGGAGAATTTATCTTGTGCTCCGAGCCTGCAATTGGCTTGCGGCCACGTCTTCCATGCGCACTGCTGCAGGAACATTCTGTCGAACAGGTGGCCGGGGCCCAGGATCACTTTTGCATTTTCCCAATGCCCAATCTGCAAGGTAAATTAATAAATGACTCTTGATAACGACTAGGGTTTGTCGGTTTTCAAAAACCGATTTTAAAAACCGTTTTTTTGGCGAAAATTATGGAATTCGAAAACCGGTTTTTAGCGAAAAAAGTCGGTTTCTACTGTATACGTGGAAAATGACAAATATAACCAAATATAAAATATAGATCAAAGCATTTTGGTTCTTGAAATCATATCGGTTCAATAGCATTTGATATCTTATCAGTCTGCAATGGTTCCCAGAAGGGTTTTGTATATATTAATTTAGATTTCTATACCAGTGTATATATTAATTTAAATCAGTGTAACTTCTTCTTGAAGAAGTAACTTCCTCTATTCAAACTATTCAAAAAAAAGTTTTAAACCATAGAACCCACAAAAAACAAAAAGCTTAGAATTATTATATACAAAGGACACGTCTAAGTAGCAATTCGATAGCCGTTCTCAGTTTACTGAAATCATATTTTATTAAACAAAAAAAAAACAATTAGAATGTTTAAAATTAATTAATTAAAATAGCTCGGAACACACAATACCCGAGTTTAGCTTAATTGTTTTTAAAACTATAATTGATATTAACAAGTATGTATCAACATGTATCTAATATTTTTTATTTTATTTTAACTTAATGATTTTTTTATTTAAAAATGTAATATTTTTATTTATTCGAAAATTTTGCTTTCACTATCATAAAAATATTTTCATTCTTATATGTGAAAATGATGCATGAATAACGAATAATTATTTTCAAAGTTATTTAATCAAGATAAACTATTATTTTTTAATTCTACTAATTGAAATTAAAATAATTTTCAAATAGTGCTCTAAATTACACTAAATTTGCTGATAAATTACAGAATATTCGAGCAAAAATTTATTTTTTATATAAAATTCGAAAACCGGTTAAAACCGTTTTTTTAGTAAAATTAAAATTCGAAAACCGGTTTTCTGAAATGTCGGTTTTGTATAAACCCTAATAACGAAATTATTAGACTTTTGTTTTATTTATAAACTTGTGGTGCATGGCATCGTGCCTTAAGCCAAATTGCTGAAACTTTCCGTACCAAAATTAAATACTCGAGGAAAAAAAGAGTGCGCGTAAGGTTCAAACGCGATTTAAGTAAAACTAATTTGCTACTGTACAAAATGGCATTTAAGTGAAAACTAGTGGGGCGCATGGCATCGTGCCTTAAGGCAAATTGCTGGTACTTCCCGTACCAAATATTATTATTTTTTTAAAAACGATTAACATTTTTGAAAAAATTTTACTTCGAAAAAACTAAATTTTTGAGAAACTAGGAATTTGACAAAAAATTATTTTTTGAAAAAAAAATTTTTTTTTCTTTATTTTACATATTTTGGAAATTCTGAACTTTATTTTAAAGCAATCGTACTGCTTTAACTGCATAGAGACGAAATATCGAAGCGCGTAAGCCCTACGCCGCCATCTAACGAATAAACATTGGTACGGAACCCATAGGAATGTAGACAAAATTTATACTTATTGTTAAAATCTCCATAAAATATCTGATAATTTAATGTGCATATGTCTAATGATCATTTTTAACCGCCAAATGGCTCATTTTTTTTTACTTTTTTTACTAGATCTCCGAAACAGCTAGACCTGCCTTCATGAAAATTTGATCAGTTCTTCATCTTGTTTGTTAATACAAGTAAAATGTTTTTTGAATTATTCAAATCGGACGCTCCGTTCTCTTAAAAACTGAGCTACCGTTTTTGGCACTTTTTGCCCCATATCTTCGGAACGGCTAGACCTGCCTTTGCCAAAAACTAATCAGCACGTCTCCTTATCAATATGAATCGAATGTTGTTTGAATTATTTAAATCGGTTGATCGGTGTTTCCGAAATCGTCGACGAAAATTTGTATCCGCACACACACACACACACACATCCATTTTTTCTAAGGTATACTAAAATGTTCAGAAACCTTTGAAACGTAAAGATACATAAAAAAAATTATTTTCGTTTTTTTTGCGATTACTATAACTTGCCCTACGGGAAATTAGTAAATACATCATATAATAATTTTGAATAATATTTATTAGTTATATGGTAACACTCGTGATGCACACATTTATTAGTGTCGAAAATCATTATACATATTTATATAATGATAAATTATAAATTAAATTATATTTATAAAAATTAGTCATACTTGAAATATGTCCTGATCGGTTTGTCATTGTAATTATCATTTAGGACTTGGACCTTTATTAGAGAAATGAAGTAATTGCTGATTAATAAATTCTATAATATTCGTTCACACAGTGTATTATGTTAAACAACGCCTAAACAAATATTGTTTTCACATTTTTTTTTAACTTCCCGTAGGGTAAGTTATAGTAATCGCAAAAAAATCGAAAATGAAAATTTTTGCATTTCTCGACGTTTCAAAACCTTCTGAACATTTTGGCATACCTTAGAAAAAATGGATGTATGTGTGTGTGTGTGTGTGTGTGTGTGTGTGTATGTATGTATGTATGTATGTATGTGTGTGTATGTATGTGCGGATACAAATTTTCGTCGACGATTTCGGGAACACGGATCAACCGATTTGAATAATTCAAAAAACATTCGATTCGTATTGATAAGGAGACGTGCTGATTAGTTTTTGGCAAAGGCAGGTCTAGCCGTTCCGAAGATACGGGGCAAAAAGTGCCACGAACGGTACCTCCGTTTTTAAGAGAACGGAGCGTCCGATTTGAATAATTCAAAAAACATTTTACTTGTATTGACAAGATGTAGAATTGATCAAACTTTCATGGAGGTAGGTCTAGCGGTTTCGGAGATCTAATGAAAAAAGTAAAAAATAATGCCATTCGGCGGTTAAAAATGATCATTAGACATATGCACATCAAATTATCAGATATTTTATAGAGATTTTAACAATAAGTATATATTTTTTTTACATTTTTATGGTTCCGTACCAATGCTTATGCGTTGGACGGCGGCGCGGCACATGCGCGCTTTGATATTTCGTCTCTATGCAGCTCAAGCAGTGCGATTGCTTTGAAAAAAGTTCAGAATTTCCATAATATGTCAAAATGAAGAAAACATTTTTTTAAAAAAAATTTTTGTATCCAAAAAAAATTTTTTTTTTTTTCATATAAATTTTTTTTTTCAAAAAAAAAAGTAATTTTTTGTCAAATTGTAGTTTCTCAAATCTATTTTTTTTTTATTAAATTTTTTTCAAACATGTTAATCGTTTTTAAAAAAATAATAATTTTTGGTACGGGAAGTTCCAGCAATTTGCCTTAAGGCACGATGCCCTAATTGCCTTAAGACAGAATTCCACTTACAGCTAGTTTCATGTAATAATTGTTTGAAGAACTTCATGTAATTAAAATTAACATACATTCTGTTAAGGCGCGAAGCTTAAAAATTACTTCGACGTCTAACTGGGTGTTGTCGATTTACTTCTCCTAACCACTACACTTTTAAATTTGTTCTATAATTGAACTTTTGGTGTGATCGGTGATTATTTAAGTAAAAGGCGACGTTTGATATTAATATTTATTATAAAAAAAATATGGTGAATATAATGGCATCAGATAGTTGGTGTTTCTATACTGAGCTCTAAACTTATACTAAATAAAAATTATTAAAAATTAACATTAACAATATTAGCCCCGCCCGTAAGAGGCGGGTTACATTAATTTATAAATCTCAGGGAAATGATTTCTTAGACTTATTTCAAGTCATTTTGCAGACACATAAAAAACTATCGACGCGGATGTAGACGGTCCAGACACATAAATTAAGCTCAAAAATTAAAATATCTTATATTACTAATGCATTTATACTTGAAAGTGTGAAATGGGCCGAAAATCGAAATTGAAAATTTTTACGTTTCTCGACGTTTTGAAGGTTTCTGAACGTTTTGCCATACTTCAGAAAAAATGGATGTGTGTGTGTGTATGTATGTATGGATACAAATTTCAGTCACGTTTCGGGCGCACGGATCAACCGATTGAATGGTTCAAAAAACATTCGATTCCCATTGATAGGGAAAAGAGCTGATTAGTTTTCGGCAAAGGCAGGCCCAGCCATTTCGAAGATACGCAGCTAAATATGTAAAAAATGGCAGTTTTTGAGGGAACTAAGCGTCCGATTTGAATGATTCAAGGAACTTTCTGCTTGTTTGAACAAAATAATTGATTTTGGAAAAAAAAAATTGTTTCAAAAAAATTTTTTTTAATTTTTTTTTCAAAAAAATTTTTTTGTATACTGAAAATAATTCAGATTTTATTTTTAATTCTGACTATAGTTCTAATATTCTTTAAACAAATAATTTCAACTTTGCAATTCAGTTTATATAATTCTATAAATATTAGACAATATTACAATGTTAATAATAATCTATTTGAAAACATTCAATATTCCTCGAACATTAGTTACGGTATGGGAAGTTCCAGCAATTTGCCTTAAGGCACGCTGCCATGCGCCCCACTAGTTTAGATTTTTATTTATGTGTTTATTAATAAACTATTTTTCCCCCAGGCTGATATCGTGCATGAGTACCTCGAAGATTTGATTACGCCGATAAGAGAGTTGTATGCAGATGTGAAGAGGAAGGGCCTGATGCGTTTGAAGTACGAAGGTCTTTTGGATCCTGAAACCGAGACCCTTAAGCCGAGTGTTGCGAGCCGGTATAAAGGGGATGCGACCGCTTATGCAATGGAACGATACGCATATTATGTTTGCTATAAATGCAACAAGGTGAGTGAGGACAAGGATTAGTAGTATTGTTATCTTGATTTAAGGGGCACAACTAGTGTGAAATTTTCAAAAAATCGAATTTTCAATTTTTCCATATTTCGATAGGTTATACCTTTAAAAATGACATACAAAAATTTTTAAATCGATATCTTAAATAGTTTTTGAGTTACAGCCATTTAAAGAGTATATATATAGTATATAGTATAACGATCATTTTATCTTTAAACGCGTTTTTCTCGAAACATTTTCCGAATTTGCTGCAGCGATTACTCAAAAACAAATGATCCAATCACTATCAAATTTTTTTTTACATGTTCTATATATAGTTCTCCGTAAAATGAACTTTTGATTTTATGATCGGATCAAAAATCGAATTTTGGCAGTCCAAAAACGACCAAAATTTTGGGTAAAATTCGACTTTGTTTAAAAAAACCCCGTCATTTTGTCAATTTTTTGATTTTTTTTTCTTTATCGTAGTTCATTTTACAGACAATATTATCTATAGTTTAACGAGATTTTTTTTTTAATTTCATCCACGTAGAAGGCCGGAATCACTGCAGCAGTGAAGGGCCTATTTTTAGTCGCGCCGTTGGAGATCGATGATAACTTAAAAAATATTTAATTTTTTTATTCAAAAATTTTATTATGCATTCTCAAAACATGTATAAATATATTCCTAAAATTTTGAAATGATTGATAGTGGTTTTTTTAATATAAATTCCCAAAAACCACCTTTTTTTTAGGCGGTTATACTAGTTGTGCCTCTTAAATCAAATTTGGAAACATTTGCGTTTAGAATTTTAGTATGTTTTTTGGCTTTGAGATTCTTACTTGATGCTGTTTTTTGGTACTGAAATTCACTGACTAAATGTTAGTAGTGTTAAATTTATTATTATTATTTATAAATTGAATTTAAAACTAGTGGTGTGTGGCAGCGTGTCATGAGGCGAATTGCTGGAACTTCCCGTATCGTAATGAAATATTATTACAATTACTGTAACTTTCATTATTTTTGCTATTTTATTTTCTTTGAGCAAATCAATATAGTCACAGTCTAAACGCATTTGCAAATAATTCTGTGCGACATTTTCACTTATACTGTGCTTAGCTTGGCGGCATTTTCACATTTTTCATGGACATACAAAACCACACACTCACAAACTTTCTGCTTGTATTGACAAAACAATTGCTTTTGAGGATAAACAATTATTACATTTTTTTTTATTTTTCATAACATTTTTTTGTAATTTTGGATTAAAAATTTAAAAAATTACCCAGACTAAGCACAGCCTAAAGCCACTCTGGTACAAATGTTTAACCGAGTGCGTTTAGACTGTTAATGTACTGGAGCACTTTTCTATCAATTTTGTGAAAACTCTTGAAAAATGTGAAAATGCCGCCAAGCTAAGCACAGTATAAGTGAAAATGTCGCATAGAATTATTCGCAAATGCGTTTAGACTGTGACTGTACGGGAGCACTTTTTCAATTTTGTGCAAATTAGATAATTACTTTTTTTGAAATTGAATTCGAAATGAAATGACGATTGTTAATGTTCCGAAGATAAATTGACCTATAATTTACATTTGATTTGCTCAAATATAACAAACAAGATAGCAAAAATAATGAAAATTAAAGTATTTGTAATAATATATTTGAAAACGTTTAAAATTTCTCGAATATTTCATTACGGTACGGGAAGTTCCAGCAATTTGCCTTAAGGCACGATGCCATACACCACTAGTTTTTCAATAAATTATAGTTATGTATGAACGTGTTTATTACAATATAATCTTTTTTTGTGAAAATTGTTTTCTACTCGCCGAAACCTTTTAAACGATACCCCACATGATACAGAAAATACAATCTAAAATTTTTGAAGTAAAACTTCTTTAGACACCTCTGCTACAATTCGTAAAAAGTGTGAACGAATGACATAGCTTATAAGCGACATTCGCTTGATTGATTTTTACCTCAAGTTTTTTTTAACTTCCTGTAGGGTAGTTATAGTAATGGGCTCTAAAAACATTCAATTTGTAATGATTGGGAGAAGAGGTGATTAGTTTTTTGCAAAGACAGGTCTCGTCATTTCGAAGATACAGAGCTAAATGTGCAAAAAATGTCAGTTTTTGAGTGAACTAAGCGACCGATTTGAATGATCTGAAAAACTTTCTGCTTGTATTGACAAAACAATTGCTATTGATGATAAAAAATTATTACATTTTTTTTATTTTCTATAAAATATTTTTGTAATTTTGGATTAAAAAAATTAAAAAAATCACCCAGGCTAAGGACAGTCTAAGCGCCACTCTGGTACAAATGTTTACCCAAGTGCGTTTAGACTCTGTGACTATACAGGAGCACTTTTTCAATTTTGTGTAAATTAGGCAACTAGGCAATTAGGCAATTAGGCAACTAGGAAATGACGAAAAAAATTTTAAATGGAAAATTTGCTTTATTTGACTTAAATACATACATTGATTTTTACATAAAGATACAAATTGTATACATCTATTCTGGGAATATCACTATACTATCATTAGGTTGTCAAATATCTCCCTTCTGTTTTTTTGCTCTTGGTTTATAATACAAAAAGGCGGAAGGGAGATATTTGACAACCTTATATATACGAGGTCTGTTCAAAAAGTTTTCGTAATTTTCGTTTTTTCAAAAAAATATTTATTTATTCGTCTACATTAATGTGGTCCCCTTCAAAGTAGTCCCCCCCAGATATAATACACTTATGCCAGCGTTTTTTCCAATTTTCGAAGCACCCTTGATATTCACTTTTTGATATGTCCTTGAGCACTCTCGGCGATTTTCTTCAATCGAGGAAAACCGCCGTCCTTTCATGGGTCTCTTCAACTTTGGGAATAGGAAAAAGTCACACGGAGCCATATCTGGTGAATTTTTGCACTTTGCAACACTTTATTTCATTTTTTACGCAAAATTTAATACAAATTCTTTGACTTTTTCAATTCTTCCATTGTAAAAATCGCCGAGCTCAGAAAAACACGTCGAACCTTAGCGACTACCACAGACAAAGTAAACAGTGAATATAGCTGAAAATTTCATCATACTTTAGGGGCATGTATACCAACACAATAAAAAAAAAATTTTGACAATCAGACACTCCAGACCCGCGAAATTTAATTATTAGTAATTCCGGGTACTTTTTGAACAGACCATGTATATAATATTGTTTGCGATGAAAATGACGATTGTTAATGTTCTGGAGATAAATTGACTTATGATTTATGATTCACATTTGATTTGCTCAGATAAAACAATAAGATAGCAAAAACAATGAAAGTTACAGTGTTTGTAATAATATATTTGAAAACGTTTGAAATTAAGCGACATTTATAAGCTTGATTAAATTTTACCTCAAATCTTTTAATCTCACATATATCCTTTATTAGGCTTATTACGGTGGAGAGGCCCGCTGCGACATGGCCAATCAGCAGGGCGCCGGCGAGGAGGCCTCCTACGAGGCTTGCGAGTTGGCCTGCGGCGCCTGCAGCGACGTCTCCGGCGCCCGAACATGCCCCCGACACGGCATGGACTTCCTCGAGTACAAGTGCCGCTACTGCTGCTCCGTCGCCGTCTTCTTCTGCTTCGGCACCACGCACTTCTGCAACGCATGTCACGAGGACTTTCAGAGGGTCGCCAACGTGCCGCCGGAGGAGCTGCCGGTGTGCCCAGCAGGTAATAATGGAAACATGGTAGTAATTAGCGCATTAAGGTTTTTTTTTTTTTTTGAATATTGAAGAAGTTTCTTATTTATTTATTTTTTTGAAATCTTTGAGAAAATTTTGAAATTTTTGAGGAAATTCTACTTTTTTGAATATTAAATAAACACCACTGTTTTTAAATTCATTGAAAATTTGTAAAATTTTTGAAAAAATGCGACTTTTTTGAATATTTGAAAAACACTGTTTTTAAATTTATTGAAAATTTTGAAAAAATGCAACTTTCTTGAATATTTAAAAAAAAACCTGTTTTTAAATTTATTGAAAATTTTGAAATTTTTGAAAAAATGCGACTTTTTTGAATATTTAATGAAAATTTTGAAAAAATGCGACTTTCTTGAATATTTAAAAAAAACTGTTTTTAAATTTATTGAAAATTTTGAAATTTTTGAAAAAATGCAACTTTTTTGAATATTCAAAAAAACACTGTTTTTAAATTTATTGAAAATTTTGAAATTTTTGAAAAAATGCGACTTTCTTGAATATTTAAAGAAAAAAAACTGTTTTTCAAATTTATTGAAAATTTTGAAATTTATGAAAAAATGCTACTTTTTTGAATATTTAAAAAAAACACTGTTTTTAAATTTATTGAAAATTTTGAAATTTTTGAAAAAATGCGATTTTCTTGAATATTTAACAAAAACATTGTTTTAAAAATTTTAAAATTTTCAAAAAAACGCGACTTATTTTGAAAATTTCGAATCCTATTCAAATAGATTGATTTATGTTATCGAAAATGTCAGATATTTTTCTGGCCTATGTAAATGAACTTCATGTAAATATTATAAATTTTGATACGGAACCCATAGGAATGTCGACAAAATTTATACTTATTGTTAAAATCTCTATAAAATATCTGATAATTTGATGTGCATATGTCTAATGATCATTTTTTGACTGCCAAATGACTTTTTTAACTTCTTCTAGGGGTAAGTTACAGTAATCGTTTAAAAGTCATCTAGTGGTGTATGGCATCGTGCCATAAGGCAAATTGCTGGAACTTCCCGTACCGTAATAAAATATTGGTGGAATATTAAATGTTTTCAAATAGATTATTATGAATATTGTAACTTTCTTTATTCATATTTTATAGACAAAATATAAGAGCTTATAAATTGAACGATGACGTTTATATAAGTTTACATGAAAAGTAAATAAACAAAACTTAATCAATCGGTATTATAATGAACGCACCGAGGACTTTATCTCATATTTCGAAGAATTATATTAAAAAACTAAATTTCAAATGTAAATTAATCAAGTATTTATATAAGTGAGCTATAGAATTACTAAATTTTTAAAATTTTTAGAAAGACTGCATATTTTTAACAATTTCAATTTTATTCATTAAGTAAATAAAAATATTCTATATTTTGATTATTTTCTTTGAACATTGTATAATTTGATTTATCACTCTAAGTTACTATATTATTATAATATTCTATATATAGAAATAAAGTAAGCTTTTTTTCTACAAGACTTTGTGAAACAGAAATCATTAAAGAGTAAGCTTTTTGTAAAGTTTTTATTAATATTTTTGGCTTAATTGTAAGCGTCAATTGTAAGACCATTTTTCGAACAAGATAAAATATGATGATTATTACTACATTGACTATAAAAATTAAAAGACCGGTTTTAGAAAAAAGTGAAAATTTAGGGTTGTATATATTTTTCATTTCGCTTATAAAAAAATATAGAAAATTTATTAACAAAGAGGAGAGCGGGTAATCTTCACGCGCGATTGAAATAAAACTTTTTTGCTATTGTACGAGATGGCATTTAAGTACAAAAATACATACATCATATAACAATTATGAATAATGTTCATTAGTAATATATGGTAACACTCACGATGCATACATTTTTTAATAATCAACCATTAAACACATTTATATAATGATAAATTATCAATCATATATTTATAATGACATTAGAAATATGTATAATATTCAAATACAATAATGTAACTAAAGTCATATTTCAAATTTGACATGATCGGTTTGTCATTGTAATTAGCATTTAGAAATGAACCTTCATTAGGGAAATAAAGTAATTGCTGATTAATAAATTCTATAATATTCGTTCACACAGTGGATTATGTTAAACAACGCCTAAACAAATATTGTTTTCGCAACTCATCGTGTAATAATTGCGTCAGAAGAACTTCATGTAATTAATATTAACATACACTCATTGACTGGTTGCATTTTTTTTACTCTTTCGCTGGCGATATAATCTCATTCTTTGAGCAGCTGTAATATCTTACTTGCCTAAAAATATTTTCCATTTTAATAAGTTCAAAGATTTATAGAAAGTAAGAATAATATAAAAATTACTTCAATAAACTTACGTTTCGTACACGGCACAAATGTTTCATTTGTTTTATTATTTTCATTATAATTATTTACGGCGGACAGGGTAAAATATTCTTCTGATTCAGGTATTTTTTATTAAATCAAGATTTGCACTACGATGTAACTTCAAAATGTTTATCTATTCCGATGTCCTTGTTGATATCGGTACGCGTTCAACGTTGATGCCGTTACGCATACGACGACAGATCTCTACTCACATACACGACGATTAATCACATAAGACCCGTATAGAAATGATCATCGAGAGCAAATGGCGAATCATTGGCACTCGACTCGGTCGTAACACACTTCCGTTGCATTTGTACGGGTTTACACCTTAGTCGCGCCTAAAAAAGTTTTACTTCAAAAACTGCTATTATATACCCTTCATCCTGGTTTTGATTTAAAAAAATATGATCACCTTAGTTTGTATGTATGTATTTTTCATTTCGCTTATAAAAAAATAGTAGTTTTTAAAGAAAAATTTAAGTTTTTTCATAAGTTCAGAAAAATCTTGATAGCCGAAATTAACAAATTTTAATTCATTTACTTTATTGATTTAATCCTTTTTTAATTACAGGACCAAAAGCAACACAACTTGAAGGCGACGAATGTCCACTTCACGTAAAACATCCTCCGACTGGTGAAGAATTTGCTTTAGGATGTGGAGTTTGTAGAACTTGCCACACATTTTAAACTATATACACACACACGTTACATACACATACACACCGGCACACCCACATATTTAGTTTATAAATTTTATTAGTCAAGTTAATTTTTTGGATATAAGGAATAGTTGATAAGAAGTTGGATTTGAAAAGTGCCCATCATGATAGAGACTTGTAAGTAAGTAGATTAGTTTTAGTTTCAGTTTTAATTTTTAAGAAATAATTGTGAAGGCTAATTTGTTAACGACGAGCCAGTAATAATCGAAGTGCCCATATGGATATGATGAATAATGTAATTTAGATGATATATACATACTTAGTTATAATAATAATTTAAACGGAAAATTTTGCCTTATAAAATAGCTTTGTCAATGCAACGCGGACAACAATGTCTAAGTATTTGCTGTGCGGTCAGGCGCATTTTACATGTAAACTAGCAAGGAATATGGCGCAGTTATCATAGGATCCTTCCTTACTTGTTTTTATGTAAAATACGCCTGATCGCACAGCAAATAATTAGACATTTTCACGGTTTCACTACCAAGAAACAAGCATAAGATGCTATTATATGGGGCAGAATTGCCCGGTAAATTTATCTTTAGCACATTTTAATACTATCCCTTTAGATATTCTTCTAGTGATCATTTTACCAAAACTCATAGATGATTTTAATGTTGATATTACAGTAATTATGATGACTGTGACTTATTAGTTATTAGTAGTACATAATCATTTGCTTAATTGTTAGATTTAATTTAAGTTTTTAGATAATGTAAGTAATTTTTTTCATTTTTAATTTTGTATTATTTTATGATTTAGTTTTAGAGTTTTGTTAATGTTGTGTTATTATACCTCAGTCGACTGATATTTTCGCCATAGGTCGTGATGATTGTATTTTTTTTGAAATTGTGAATAGTGTAATTAATTTGAGGGTAAATATATTGATTAAGCAATAATAATTATTTTTATTTTTATTCGCGGGTAAAAACGGTCTGCCATGATTATCTCAAAAGCAAGTAAATTTTTATGATGCTATTTTAAAGTAGATGGCAAAAGATGTGTAACCAATCATCGTTTAAAATCGGGCGACGTCGCTATCACGTATCACACATTGTCAATTTTTACCGATAGGATGTAAATTTTTCTGGTTTTGAGCACTGTTGTTTAGTTTACGATACCTGAATATAATTTTGAAATCGATCGATCACGTGATTAATGGACGCCTCCTAAATTGTGGTATTGTTAACGATGCTATTTTAAAGTAGAGGGCAAACGATATGTTTCCAAGCTTTGCTTTAGATGATAGGCCACTTTGTCAATTATTTAACGAAATTTTTTTTTCTTGTTAGTTTTTTTGGGTTTTGAGCACCTGTTGTTTAGTTTATGACACAAGAATATAATTTTTACGAATACGGTATTTAATTGTTTTATAATGTGTCTTGTTATTAAGTTAGATTCAACCATGTTTTTTTTTAAACATCATCCAAAAATTTGACATGTGGTTGGAATAAAATGGACTACTTGAACTTTTACATTGTCAAATGTGTAAATAGTAAGAAAATAGTAAATAAAAATATAAAAATGGTTAAAAATGAAATTTGGAAAGATTTAAATTAAATTTATAGTTATTCCAACTCTGATGATGAATTCTACGGACTAAGGTTGTGTAAAGTGTGATTTTCGTGAAAAATGTGCCCGTGAAATATGTATTTCGAACAGAAGTTGCATTTATCTTATTTGTGACAATTGAAATGCAAGAAAAGATGAATCTGATTATGTTAAATTAAACAGAAATACCAACTAGAGCAAAATTTTTGGTCATTATGTTTACCGATGTATATTTTTATTATTAGTTTAAATTTGTTGTTCAACCTAATAAGTGAAGTGCCTTTCATTAAATAATGCAGCTATTATTAGGTAAGAACTCTTTAAAATTAAAAACAAAACTATTTTTTTTTTTTGCATAAAACAAAACATTGGACCATTTTTGGCCTCCGACTGTCCTTTTTAACCAGACTATGTTAAAATAGGACAGAAAACATGGCCTAGAGTAAAAACAAAAATAATATATTTCTATAATGATGAAATTATATGATATCTATTTTTGGCAGTATAATTTTCTCTAAAATCTCTCTAGAGACTCTTGAATACTGAGGTACTCAGATCGAATCCCAGTCGAGTACTGGATACAAAAATAAATTGATAGGTGCTTTTATAGGAAATAAGGTGCTTGAAGAACAAGATATTAGTGGAAAAGAGTTATAAGGAGCCAAATATTTATGAAGTAAATGAAATACTAGGGGTAAGTGGCATTTTGCCTTAAGGCAAGTTACACGAACTTTCCGATATATAATCAACTTAATCAATAAGAATTGATATAAATATAATCATTGAAATTGTTTATTTCAGAAATAGCAATTTCCCTTTCACTAAAAATTATTCAATACGAATTTACAATTGATGTCTGAATTTCTTTGCGTAAGAAATCGATTTTTTTTTCAAATTCTTATATTTTTTGAAATTTTTCAAAATTTAGATTTTTTTTTTGAAAATTATGAAAAAATTTCGAAAATTAGAATTTTTTGAAAATTTGAATTTTTTGAAAATTTTGTTTTTTTTTTGAAAATTTTCAAAATTACGAAATTTTTTGTAAAAGCATTTTTTGCACACCGAGGACATTTATTGTTTCAAACAAAATTTAAAGTTTCAAAAAACTCAAATTTTCGAAATTTTTCATAATTTTCAAAACAAATTTAAATTTCCAAAAATTTCGAAAAATATGAAAATTTAAAAAAAGAACCATTACAAAAAAAAAAATTCGAAATTTTCAAAAAAATCGGGTATTTTCAAAAATTTCCTAATTCTCAAAAAATTTTTAAAAATCGATTTTTTTTTCAAAAATTCGAACTTATCAAAAAATATAAAATTCTTCAAATAGATCAATTTATTTCAAATATTTAAAAAATCTCAAAAATCTGTTTTTTTCAGTTTAAAAAAAAAAATTGTTTTTTTTTTTTAATTTAATTTTTGGTACGGTAAGTTCCAGCAATTTGCCTTAAGATATGATACCATGCACCACAATTTGTTTCTTGGGAAGATAAAAAACACATATCAAAGTAAAATCTGTTTTATTTTATAAAACTTTTGTTAACATTTGAATATTATGAGGTTTCTTTATGGCATTTTTGCATTATCACATCGTTTAACGATAAGCATATCACAAAATCTAAACTAAATATATACATCAATATACTCGGTATAAAAATTGTTCTATTTACAAAACATTTGACTAAAAAATATATCGAACTGACTCTTTTTTTCTATATTTACACTACTACCATTTAATTTTATCCTGCACAAGATCCTCTTGTAACTTTTTGAAATTAGTATATACATGATTTTTATTAACATTTGTGTATTTAGTACAGCGTTTAGTTTCCTCTCGGTCGTCATCAGGATGGCTTTCCAACCGGCATTTCTAGCACCCACGTAATCCTTCAAAGGAGTGTTACCGATGTGCAGAGCATCCTGGGGTTTGATAAGAGGCACTCGACTTTCCTCCAGAGCCTTTGCAAATATCTTCTCGTCCGGTTTCTCACAATTCACTCTGTACGAAGTGATGATGAATTGAAACTCGTGGTGCAGGTGCATGTTTTTTAATATATTCAGCAACCTGGTATCAAAGTTAGAGATTATACCAAGACATATATTATTTTGTTGTAAGCAATTTAATAAATTCCTACTACCATCAGCCACTTTCCACACGGATGCATCTTCGTACTTGGTTATGAGTTGGTCTGCGATGTTGTGCAGGGATTGCTCATCGATTTGGGAACCGTTGGAGCAGTCTTTGAAACTGTTGAAGACTACTGTGCGCCACCAGTTTTGCCAAGGCATGTTGTGAGTTCTACCGAAATTCGGGTACAACTTGGACATGGTTTTCATTTGCTTTTTAACATTTGCAGAAAGTTGTGCGGGTTCACAGTGGACACCGAACATGCAACCAGCTTCTGCATACTGGCTACCAGGATCCATCCTGTATTCTAGAAGAGTATCCGTCACATCGAATGTTACCAGTTTGAAACGATTGTGTAAGTTTTTTGTTATCCTATTCATTTTTAAAATTTTTGAGGTTATGTTGAAACTTTGATTGCGAAAATTTTGATTTAGTTGATTTTTTTTAGACACAAACACCACACCAGAGATTTATTTGAATCGCTTTCGTCACATTTTTTTATTTTTAAATTGGTTTTATTGTTATTTAATGCTGTCGAATCTGCATTTTTGACATATGATCTTTCTTCCAAACGATTGCGTGTGTGTGTTTGTTATCTGACACATTAAGGCGCTACCACATGAGCGATTTTTGTGAAAGGAAATTTGAATATATTTTACAAAAACGATTACTGGTTTAAAAATTAGTATTTTTATGTAAAATGTTTATATTTTGCATTATTTTTTTTAAATTATATTATTGATGGCATGCATACAGTGTCGAAACGTACCAAATAAACTAGTAGTGCGGCGCATCGTACCTTAAGGCAAATTGCTTAAATTTTCCGTATCATTTTTTTAAATTTTTGAAAAAATTAGATTTTTTGACCTTTTTGAACACTTTAGATCTTTTTTTGAAAATTTCAATATTTAGATGTACATATTTTGAAAATATTGAAAAATTTCGTTTTTGTTGAAAACTTTGAGTTTTTCCCGGAGCATTTATAACTTTTTTTTGATTTTGAAAATTTTGATGTACTTTGAAAAAAGTCGACTTTTTTAGAATTTTGAATCGTTTTTTTAATCATTTTTAAATTTTCTTGAAAATTTTGACAATTAAGTTTTTTGTAAATTTTAAAATTTCAGCAGTTTTTTGAAAATTTCGAAAAAATCATACTCTTGAGAATTTTGATTCTTTTTTAATATGATTGCATTTTCTTTGAAAATCATAAAATTGTTTTTAAACATATTTGAACATTTTGAAAATTAAGATTTTTGAAGAATCCGACTATTTTTAACAGTTTGAATCTTTTTGAAAATTTTGATGTATTTTGAACTTCGAATATTTTTTTGAAACATTTTAAAATTTTCTTGAAAATTAAGTTTTTTGGAAATTTTGAAACTTTGTAAGTTTTTTAAAAATTTGAAAAAAATCCTACTTTTTTGAGAATTCTAAATCTTTTTTCAACACTATTAATTTTTTCTCAAAATTCAGAAAAAAACGAACCCTTTGAAAATTTTTATGTGTTTTTTTAAAAATATCGATTTTTTTAATATCTTGAATCGTTTTTTTTTTAACATTTTTGAATTTTCTTGAAAATTTTGAAAAATGCGATTTTTTTAGAATTCTTTATCTTTTTTGAATATTTTTGCATTTCTTTGATAATCTAGAAGTATTTTGATTCGTTTTTTGAATTGTATTGAAAATTTTGGAAATTAGTTTTTTTGGAAATTTTGAAAAATACGATTTTTTGAAAATTTTTAATCCGTTTTTGAACATTTTTCAATTCTTTTGAAAATCTGGAAATTCTTTGATCATTTTGAAAAAACTCGACCATTTGAAAGTATTCAATTATGTTTCGACATATTTTTTCGACATTTTAAAAATTTAGAAGTTTTTTTGATAATTTTGAAAAAAGAACTGGTAATATTTGAGAAATCTTCGATATTTTTGAAAATATAAGTAAATTTCAAACAATGTAAATCTTATTGTGGAACTCGAGAAATGTAAACAAAATTTATACTTATTATTAAAATCTCTATAAAATTTCTGATAATTTGATGTGCATAATATCTAATGATCATTTTTCTCTAAATAGCATTTTTCTTACTTTTTTAACGGATTTGCAAAACCGCTGAACCTGCCTTCCCAACAATTTAATCAATTCTTCATTTTGTTAATACAAATAAAATATTCTTGAACATAGACGAAAAATTGTATTCGGAAACATACACACACATACATCAATTTTCTGTTAAGGTATGCCGAAATGTTCAGAAACCTTTGAAACGTAAAGATATATAATAATACGTTTCATGGGTTTCTGAACATTTTGATATAGCTTAGAAAAATCGATTTATGTGTGAATGATACAATTTTTCGTCGACTATTTCGAGATCAACCAAATTTCTCAAAAAAATCAAATATTTTTCCAAAATTTTCAATATTTTCAAAAATCTATTTTTTTTCAAAGTTTTCTAGCAATTTTCCTTAAGACACGATGACATGCACCACTAGTTTTAATATTTTATCGCAATTTCCATTTTTTACCAATGCGATACAGACTTTTCTGTCCGTCTTTTCAATGTCGGAAGAGTACAAGGTAAATTCTAACTCTTGTTGGCAATGGTAATGGATTGTTTTAACAATCAACAAATACAAATACAAATTCATTTTATTATCAGCAAACAAACAAACCGACCATTTGCTGAGAGATCTTACTAAATATATAACAATAAATAGATTGTTACTGTTATTTAATAACAAAACGAAACCAAACGTTATGCTGCTGATAAAAAAAACTGTGCGGTAACGGTTGAGATTTTCTGTTATCAGTATCCGATAAAAATTATAAATTTTCTGAATTTGAAATTAACTAGTGTGGCAAGACAAAACGCTGGATTTTAAGTTATATAAACAATAATTATATAATTTATTAAAACAATATTTTTATCGTCTCACAAACCTAATCGCGCCTCATCCTTATCGAATTTATTCCAATGGCTTTTTTTAAATTTGTGAAACTCAACTTTTTTACTTATCACATGATAAAACTACTTTTGACACAAAACATCATATTTTTTCTAACTTAGAAGAATTTTTAAAATTAAACTACTTGTAGATGGTAACCAAAATCGTTATCTTATTATTACAATTTCTGTAAGGTAATGTAATAATTCCGAGTAAAAAGCTGTGTTCACTTGGAAACTTATTATTGTCCATATTTCGAAGTGAAATCCAATGTCACTGCTGCTTGACATCAGGCTGTCTGCACCCTGATCCTCTGACTCATATCCCATAGCTCTAACCACTTGCCTACGGTCTATTTATAAATATAATACACAATTTTGTAATATATTCTAAGATTGATGTATACCAAAACGTATCGATGTAATAAATCTGCGATCTT